AGATGACTGACATTTGATTCCATGTGCAGAAGTCTGCCCAAGAATAAAGTCGGTGAAAGGAAAAACATGACTGAGAGGGAAAAACATGAGTCAGATCCCTGAGAACATAATGGGAACATCTATTCAGTCACGTCTGAAAAATGTATCATTAGGTTTTTGTCAGCTTTGTGAAACAATAATTTAGTTGCTTATTAACTCTTTTGAGTTGGATTTTTGTTACTGACAGCTGAAAAGAATCCATAAGCATTCTGGATTTTATAAACCCATAGTGGTGGTAATTTTACCCCATGTTTCCTAAAGTGTTCTTAATTTTATCATTCTGAGGCAAATGGGAGAAATGAAAGTAAGTGGAAATCTGTGCAAAAGAATTTTCTTCAGAATGTTGTTTGCTGGAGAGAGTTATGCTAAGTGAAATAAGCTAGTCAGAGAAAGATAAGTATCACATGATCTCTCTCATTTGTGGAATATAAAGAACAACATATACTGATGAACAAAAACAGATCCAGAGACACAGAAGCATTGATCAGACCGCCAAACCTCAGAGGGAAGGTAGGGGAGGGTGGGGGAAATGGGGAGAGATCAAGCAAAGGACTTGTATGCATGCATATAAGCCTAACCAATGGACACAGACACCGGTGGGGGGTGAGAGGGGAATGAGGGCATGAGTGGGGGTGGTGAGGGGGCACTGGGGGATAAAGACACCTACCTTAATCAATAAAGAGAAAAATAAAAAGAATATCCCTTTTACCTGCTTCAATTTTTTCTTCTTCTCTTTTCTGGAGAGCTTGGCATCTGTTATGACCTCCTCCAACAAAGCTGCCAGAGGTTCCTGAGAGCCGTATGCTCTTTGGTATTCAAATTCCTCTGGACTAATTTGACGACAAAATGATGGAGCAGATAAAGTGATATCCATGTCGGCTCCTGGGTATTTAATCTGAAGCAAAAGGATTAGTAGAGAAAAAAAAGTGTATTTTCAAATAAATTACAAAAATTTGTTTAGATTAAACACAATTTACAGCACATGTCATTCCTCAATTTTAACTGGGGAAAATTCTTAATTAATAATGTCTGAAATTGAAATATAAACTAAACAAGTTGACTCTAAAATGATTCAAAACAAAAAACAATGTTGCACACACAGTGAATTATCAGGTTCCTTCCCCATCTGAAGAGTCTAGTGTTCTCTTCCTTGCACACTTTAGCCCAGCTGTCATGGAGAGGGAAGTCCTACAACCATGGTTAAACATGTGAATAGTGAGAATCAATTGAAAACAACAAATGTGCAGACACTGTACAGGGCAAAGAGAGAAGTAAGAGGAAAGATACCAAAACCTGTGAATAAGTGAGCATCCATGAAAAATACTTAACTTCAGAGTCCCAGGGGGTCATCCTCTCAAAAATAGAGCATCTATTGTTCTTCTGCAGTGAATAAAATTGCAACTATTCACTTCTTTGGCTTAAGATAGTTTTCCAGAAGCCACAGTTAAAAATAAGTGTTGCCAAGAAGAACAGTGCTTTAAGTACAGTCCATGCCTCAACATCAGTTTACCAAATCAGTTAGAGACAACCTAAGAGAGAGAGACCAGAACCGGAAGGAAAAGACTTCCTTTTTATTTACCTAGGACTCACCCTTTATTCTGGCCAGTAAAACCAGGAAAGGGCTGGAATAAAGGGTGATTCCTAGGTAAAAGGAGAAAAACACCAGATATCTATCATTAAAGGGCACAACAGGGAGAAGAGGGTTGCAAATAAGGTTGATAGAAGGCTGGTGTAAAAAACAATGCCTGCCTCACAACTGATCTATCCCAGGTCAGCCTCAAACTGCCCCCAAATTGAGGAACCTCAAAAAGCACTTCAGTGAAGAAGAGGTCGAACCATTCTGAAGGAACCAAGCAGAATTTCTGCTAAGACTTTTTACCAAAAGTTTCTGCTCCTACAGGCTGACATACAAACCCATTTTAGGGTCCACATAATATAGCAGCAACAACGATGATAGCACTCCCTTTCAAAGAGGTACCTACCATGTCAGACAGCTGTGCAAGGGGTTTTACAGTAATGTATAATTTAGTATTATACTGTGTAATACTTCACAACCACTTTATACAGCATGTGTGGCCCATTTTAATAATTGAAAAAAACTAAAATCGAGAGAGGTTAAGGGATTTGCCCAGAGCCACACAAGGGAAGATGGGGAGCCAGGAGTTTGACCCAAGTCTTTACGGCTCCTGTTCACCTACCACACCATGTTCTGAAGTGAGGCAGTATGTATGGGAGTTAGGGGCACTGATTCTGGAGACTGATCTCATCAGTTTGAATCCTGGCACTGTGACCTTGGACTAGTTGCTTAAGTTCTCTGCCAAGGCCTTCTCATCCAAAAATATAATTTCCATCAGGAAGTATATGTAGACTCTGAACAAATTCACTTAAGGAGTTTTCGATCAAAAGTATGTGGTTTTGATTGACATAACAAAACCAAGTAGGCAACCCACAAATTTTCAGTGATAACAAACTTGTATGCTTACTATGTGCCAAGCCTTGTTGTAAGCACCTTATACATATTAATTCACTTAGTCCTCATAACATAAACTCCCAAGAAGCCTAGCTGACAATTTCATAGGATTTGAGAATATCCCTTCCTTTACCTGCACTCTTCGTAGGTGAGCCACACGCTCCTCTATGGAGGTCTGCAAGGCCAAAGGGACTTTCAGAATATCTTGGTAATTGTCCATCAGAAATGTTACCAACCTAGCAGCTAATAACTCATCCAAATCCACTTCATCCTTGGAGCATAAGATGCAATGGGAAAATGTCTGAATCATCTAAAAGAAGAAAAAAAAAGGTGGGGGAGATTTTTAAATAAATAGCAATGAATATTTTCCCTACTCTGAATTGAGTACGATCTTAATTTGCAAAAAGCAAATGTGACTAGTCAGTGAGCAATGGCCCACAGCACAGGGTGAACATCCTACATGGCACTTAGCCACACCTGGTCATCTCACATGTATTGATTTTCTCATTAATCAGCATGAGCAGAATGTGCATCGCATCTCACAGAGATTTAGCAGACATGCTTGTCTGAAGGCTTTTAAACTCCTTTCACAGATGGTTTTAAATATGTATATTTAAACAAATTCTGAAAATTATCATTATCATCATGACCTTGATCATGTAGCACTTTTAAGTTCGGTGTACTTTATACCCATTTAGTCTGATAATATCCTAATTACATCATTGATTTTTTTTAAGCATTGTTTTTTATCAATCTAGTTGCACAGTTTTATGGGTCTCAAACACTATATATTTTCCTAGTTAACTGTTATTTTCTCTAGGATTTTTAATGTACATTTGAGTGACCTTGAAGAAAACCATGAGACTTTACAAGAAGTGTATTAAGTGATGAGACCCTGTATGGTAAGCAGAAATATAAAAAATATTATAGCAGGTCCTGGCCGGTTTGGCTCAGTAGATAGAGCGTCGGCCTGTGGACTGAAGGGTCCCGGGTTCGATTCTGGCCAAGGGCACATACCTGGGTTGTGGGCTTGATCCCCAGTAGGGGGCATGCAGGAGGCAGCCGATCAATGATTCTCTGTCATCATTGATGTTTCTATCTCTCTCCCTCTCCCTTCCTCTC